TGTGTGTGTGTGTTGAGGGGGGGTATTTTTTCTGGGAGGAGGGGCGTGTCTGCATTGTGTACGTGTACTGTGGGAGGACAGGGTGAAAAGGTCATGATGATAAATGTCGACTGAGGCACTCACATGCTACTACCTGTACATCTTTTTTTTTCAGTGTGACACCCGCCTATTTGAGGTGGCAGCAATATACATGATTATTCACAGTGTTACTGATGACTCACTGTTGTTTCCCCACTACTTTTATTTGTGTATCCTTAACGCAGCAATATCAGGAGGTCTGTATTTGTCATCTAAATGATTCCTCTACACCATCCAAAAACATATTATTGAAGTATAGGATCATATTTTCTAACAGCCGGCTCATAGTTGGCTGTCAGCTCCTTTTTGAGGCAGGACTCTTAAAAGTGTTTCCGAGGTATCATTTAAAATGGAGTCCCAGTCTCATTAAGGGCGGGCTGATTAGCTGTCAGGCCTCTGGGTCTGATTGGAGACTCAAAACAACGCTGGGCAGCGGATATTTCCCTGGAAAATAATTTGCCTGGACAAATCTATTTTCCAGGAGCTCATTATGATCGAGAGCAATCAGCTCCCACCGTCCCAGAGACCACACAGCATTATACGACGTGATTATTAGACCTGCGAGGTAATTCAGTCTGGCTGAGGAAAGGAGACGTTTTTGGGAGATGAAGCAGCAAAAAAAGGCCAGTTTTGTACTTGAAACAGGTCTTTTTGCAATGTGGTTTAAAAATTTGAAATGAAGGCAATAAAATCAGCAAATACTTTTAAATTAATGACATTTAAACCACTTCCAATCATACTGACGCATGGTACAGTAATTACATCATACAATTGACCTTTTACAGCTGAGTGCATTTAGACAACTTTTCATACAATATGAATACAGTGTTTGTCTGTTTCATGGCGATCAAGCTCAGTTTCACCGACATTAATAACAATCTGCACTCTGAGGAATGTAAGACTGCAACTCGTGATTTATACTTCATTAACTGATTACATGAAAAAGCTAAATTTCCCAAAGCTAAAGATACATTTAAATTTCGTGTTTTTGTCCGGCCAACTCCCCAAAGCACATATATTTCATTACACAGTGATGTAAATATGAGAAAAGGGACAAATCCTGATATTTGAGGAGTTGGAATGTTGACGTTAATGTTGGATTTATAATTTATGGGAAAATGTAGTAAAATGCAAATGCAAAAGCATGTCTACTACTCACAGTTTGCCCACCAGAATCAAAGGAAGAAATTAAACAGACTAGTGTTGAAAAGAAATGTCCCTATGTTTAACATCTCGCTGTGACAGCTGACTCTAAAGAAAGTGCTGGTTTGACCAAATTTTATCAATTATTTAATTGATCTTTATTTCGGTCTTTAAGTTAAGTTGTAAAGGTGTAGGTTAGACAATAAATATACCGTAAGTATACACACTCACATGCATCTACACAACGATACACCACACAACTCCAAAATGTAAAGGGGATTTGACGCCATTGACAGGTGACCGAATTAAATTTTTCCTTGAATAAAATGACAGATTGCTCTGGGTTTGCTCCTACATTGTTGGAAACATTAGTGATAACGTAAGTACACAACTTAAACAACACATTTAACGGAGGTCTAGTTGTTAAGACATTTAAATGAAGAAATGTTACATATTATACTTTTAGAGAGTGAATCACCCTGATGGACACAAGACTGTCACACATCAATCACGAGTCAACCACCATGATCCATCCGAGTGTTTTTGGCACAACGATGGTTAAAAGAGTATTATGAGAGTGTTTAACAGAGGTGGAAGATTACAAAAACAACTAACACATTTCATACACGGTATGGCTCTGTAATTATCGCAGACAAAAGCAAGAGTTGGGCTCTCTCTCTTTTCCCATCACTCAGGCTCTTTGCGCTGGACCTCCGACTCTCTCCACGAGTGACAGACAGCAGAGAAGTATCTGCTCAGTGACACGCAACAGCAGAGTCAGTGCGAAGCAGAGAGGGCAGTTGAAGTGGGTTGCTGTAGTGTCTGTAATGACTGTCTAGTGTGTACTGATGGACAGGCTGGTGGGTGTTTGAAGAAGATTATACCTACTCCGCTCAAGGCCGTGGGAAGAGGCTTCAAGTTGGGGGATGCTGTAGTGGGAGTTGCGTGTACGTGTCGGGACACGTCATCATGAGTGAATTCAGTGAAGCCAGGAAACCAAAGTATGCCAGGTTTGCACACAGCGGACGAGAGCATATCCAAATACGCACCATATATTTTAACCCGTCCAAAAGCTCACTTAATAACACACAAATAACACATGTGATATCTCTGTTTAATAATAATATTAAACTGCTCGGCGGCAGCTCATAAGAACATTTACCACCTTTACCTTGAGCTGGGTATTCCAGTAATATTAAGCTCAGGGGTTGAGGAGGTAATGTCCATTGACCATGATGCTTGGCGTTATTTTAATAATGCATAATTATTCAGTATTCAACATTAGTTTCACGGCTGCAGCCCTTAATGACGGAGACTTAATGAAAGCAGCTGGATTATAAATAGCAGCATTATGTTTGTCATGAGTGTGTTTGTCTTTCGAAGAAACAGGGAGGCAAAAATAATCTGTTTTTGATCTTCATCTTTAAATATTTCATAAGCCTACTATTAGTTCATTTCTCTCATACCCAGGGTCCAAAACATCCTCCAAGCGCAAACTGTTGGTCAATTTGGCGTTTGAAGGAAAAACCGTCCCGTAGCTGGTTAATAATTTGTAATCTCATTTTAGA